CACTTGAAACCTGCGGCTTCTTCTCCACCACCGGTCATAGACAATCAATTAATTGATTCGGTGTACATTTTCCAATTGGTTATGCCTGTATTCCGTGAACAGAACGGCTTTTCCTTTTTTTTTTATGCCGATGAGATTTCCAGCGACCGACTCAAGCCTCGGGGATTTTTCCGTTAATCCTTGAATTAACGGCCCGAAACTGTCAACATTATTAACCACTTCTCGATCAATTCTGTCGGTCCATCGATCACTGAATCAGTCTACCGCAAAAAATTATCTCTACTAATCAAACAAAATTCATGTGTGACAATTCAGTAGCGAAATTGTAAACTGGGATAAACGGATTGTTTCTCGTGTTCAGTTTTTCGCCAGTATCTCGCGACTGGAGGAACATAGGATTTTTTTTGTAAAAATAGTTTTTATAGCAAAAGATGAGAGCTGCAAAAAAGGTGTCTATAAAAATATCAGTATTTTCCTTCGATTGTGAGAAATCGGCAAAAAATGGTCTTGAAAAAAATGCGCTTGTCCTATTTTCCCGCTTGGCAACAAAATAAATGAAAATTAATTCTTCCCTCAAATTTTATAATTTGTAATTTTATTGGCTTCTCGTGTCTCAGAGGTGAATAATTTTTATGAAATAAATAAATAAAACTGCATGACACGTTTCAATCTGCTTTTTTTTCATTGGAATCCCGAATCTGCGGATGTTTTCGAAATGCAACCGGTACAAACAGCTCTGAACATTTTCTGTGTCAGACCAGATCTCAAAATTCCTGAACGCGACAACAACGCATTTCACGTAATCAGATGGTTCAACTCTGATTCCCGCAACTCACGTGAATCATAATAATATACAAATGGGTACATGAAAATCGAGGAGGTATTCACTGAAATTAAAAAATTGGAAATTTTCGAAAAAGTATCAGGGGATCATGAAAATCGAGGAGGTATTCACTGAAATTAAAAAATTGGAAATTTTCGAAAAAGTATCAGGGGATCATGAAAATCGAGGAGGTATTCACTGAAATTAAAAAATTGGAAATTTTCGAAAAAGTATCAGGGGATCATGAAAATCGAGGAGGCATTCACTGAAATTGAAAAATTCACTGATTAATGATCAGAATACTGTCAATAAATTAATAATGATATCAAACCTCGTCTAACGGCACTCAATCCACACATCAATCATTCTGTTATAAAAAAAATGTATAAACAGAAAATCTGCTATTTTCTGCGCAAATGAACTCCAATGATTCACTCCTGAAAATTTCCACTCAACAGTCCATGAAATTTCATTTTTTTCAGTACCATAATCCATACCTGAATGACTTATTATTCGGCCCGAATATTCAACCGCAGGGTTCGCTGATTTTTTCGCTGTTATCCCTTCATCTTCACACGTGTAAATATTATTCATGGTGAATCCTGCTGTAATATCGAGGTGGGATACCCTATATTAGAGACATGGATTTTTTTTATTGATATTAGCATCGTTGATGCCCAGGAGCCGATCAGGTAATGTGCGATAATCGCGGGCTGATCTGAAGACTTTTTTTTTAACTTCACGCGTATAGAATCATCACTCTGGATTTTGCTGGAGGCCACATCCCCAGCTCTGCGGAACCAATTCATCCTTCAATTTTTTTTGTCACTTTTTCATCGAAAGATTTCTCTCATCTGCCTCTTCTCGGTTTTTTTTTATATCCGAGGTGAGAGTGTATGCGATCCGAGAAAATCAAATACGAGGGACTCGATCGATTTCAACGTCGAGATTGATTCTATAAACACGTTACCTCGCCTGGCGATTGATTCTCAAGATGATTGGATTTTTTGCACTCTACAATGTCCCATTGAATATTATTTTCTATTTTATTATTCAAAATGTATAGTTACACCCAGAAAATATTATATTTACCACAAGTCGTTGGAAAATTGGAAAAGAAAAATTCAGAAAATATATTTACCAAAAATAAATTGAATAAATTGTATATTCGAATAGTTCCATTGAATTTCACCATTTTTTTTTATTAAAATACCCTTCAAGAAATAAAAAATCACAAAATCTTTTTCTTCAATCACAAAATCATGAAATCACGGAATTAAAATTAAATTTAATAATGAAGTTAAGTCAAAGAGATAATAGGAATAAATTCATCTAACATTTATGATATAAAGAGTTTTTTATTGAATAATGAATTTTCAAGTTCTTTTGCAATTCTGTTTTATAAACAAATGCAATAAATATTTGAAGGTGTTGATGACCACAGGCTCTTGGATATTGATATCAGTGATATATCCAGGGATATATATACAGATATAACGAGTGAGTTGTATCCTTAGACACAAGCTCATGTTCCACTCTTTGTTGTGGCATCCAGACGCGTATTCACAACTAGACATTGAAAGTACAAAAGACAGGAATAACACGGTTTAGTCAACAATGACACACTCTCGTGATGAATAAAAAAATATTTTTATCCCTGAAATTTCATAAAATTTCGAAATGCTACTTTCGGTTGGCCGTCAAGGTTTATCTTGTTAATTGAATTTGGAAGGGAAATAAAGGTCTCGTTGAATTTTTAATTGGGAAACTGTAATTGTAGACACGAGAGAAAACCGAATGAAAAACCGACAAACTTGACACAATTATACCGAAGTGAAATCGTTGAAATGGAGAATATCTGTCTATTCCAAGAAGGAAAACAAGTTTACCTGCTATGAATTACGAGATTTACAATCATTTGAAAAGTTTAGTCAACAAATTAATTAATTGTACACTACATTTTTTCTTCATTTGGAAAAAGCCGTAGAATTTAATTGGAAACAAAATTATGCTCTTTGATCAAGTAGAAAATCAATTAAATCGCAGTAACCATTACTGATTACTTCTGGCTATTTTATTTCTGTGAGATAATTATGGGTAAAACGAATCAAGTAATTGAGATGTATGGAAATCACTTGATTCCAGGATTTTATGTTAATAAAAATTAATGATCACGAGATCCTGCAAATAAATGACTTTTTCATCTGCCCTAGGGATATTTCTCTTCAAGTCAAGGGAGAAAATCTGAAGCTCACTAATTGATCCACTAAATTAAACCTAATTGCCATAAAAATAAACATTTATTTAAAAATAATGCTATCAACAAAATTACGCGCACATTTTTTCCCACAAAAAATCTAATTACATTTACTTTGAATTTGGAGAGTTTATTGGAATTTACGAGAAGTAATTTTAATTTCATTTTCACTTTATTTCATTTTATTTTTATTGATAGTAATAATAATATGATTAGAATTAATTCGGAGTAATTTTTACTCTCATTAGAAACAATTAGAATTACTTTCGTAGGATTTATCAATTCACGTAGAATATTAATATTCAAATATTTACCGTAACTAAATGGGGAAGAAATAAGGGGAATGGAAGAATCATTGAGAGACATTATAAATGTCCGGTGAAATGTCGTATAGGAAGCAACAGGATGTAAAAATGCCATATATTTATATTTCTGTGATTACAGCTCGGCGTATGACTTAGCTATGCGCAATGCACGCCGAGTGTATGAGGTTTTCCTGTATGAAGCAAATGGCATTCACTGCTTTACCGAAGTAACCACTTCTTATTCACCCTTATGTACCCAGATCGAGGCGTATTAATTGTATTAATTGAGAAGTACCTAATGATGCCTATCCCTTCTCATTCCTGGGGAATAATTAGCAGCTTCGCCCATCTCCTATGGATAAATTCAGGTTGCAATTAAATTGACTTCGTAATCATTAAATAAAATCAAACCTGATTATTTAAAATTATTACTATTATTATATATATTTATATATTTTATAAACAAATTCCAAATATTTTCCCTCGTATTTTTACAAATGAATGTGTCCAACATATTAACAAATGGTTTAAATAAATTAAGTAAATGAATGAAAATATTTTTGAAGAACTTAAAAA